GTTAACACTTTGTAATAATTCTTTAGTATATTACTTGTGTGGTGTAGAAGATAATGTAACATTGTGGGTGTGGTGTAAGAATGTTAACACTATGTAATATTTCTACTTGTGTGATGTAGAAGATAATTATCAAAGTATGTAATTATGTAAGAATGTTAACAGTCTGTAATATTTTTTAGTATATCACTAGCGTGGTGTAGAACAAAATTATCTATGTAGTAATACTGCTTGCAAACCAATGATGGTAAGATGATGTTATGGGGTAGGACTAGATAAGTCTAACTTCTTCCTACTCCGTTCAAGCATGTACTAGGTATAAGCAAATTGATAATGCATTTGTGGATATGTGTGAAATTATATGTGTGTTGACATACTGACTGTCGTTACGTTACATGTTTGAAAGAATAAATCAAATCAAATCAAATCAAATCTGAACATGTTTTTCTTCCCTGTGATAGTTTGAAGGACAAGCTCAAAGTCATTTTGAAGGCCACTTACACCCACTCCCGCAACCTGGCATACTTTGTTTTCACATACAAAGGACTGCAAGCCTTGCAGCAGAAGATCCAAGGAAAGACTTTACAGTCTCACTCTTTTCTGGCGGCCTGTGTTGGAGGATGGTTAGTGTTTGGAGACAATAACAACATCAATAGCCAGGTATGACAGGCCTGATAGTCCTCAAATTCCACATCGTCATGTTTGCACATTACCAAACATACTATCATAAACTCAAGACAATAACTGCTCAATAAGTGTGTTCTGTGTATTAAAATTATTTACTTTTTACTGTAGATCAACATGTACTTGCTGTCTAGGATCCTGTTTGCACTGTCTCGACTGGCTGTAGAGAAGGGACTTATCCCTCAGCCTAAGCAAGACCCTTTCCCGCTTTTTGCCACCCTGGTGTGGGGCATTGTCTTGTGGCTGTTCGAGTATTACCCACACACCCTGCAGCCCTCACTGCAGTCCTCCATGAACTACCTCTACCATGACAGCAATGTGTGGCACGATATCTCGGATTTCCTTGTTTATAATAAGCCAAGGACTGCTGCTCTGGAATGAAGCTTTAGATTTATTTTTGTATAGACCAGCTTTCTGAAATGCCATAATTGCATTAAATGATTTTTAAAATATTTTAATTAATATTAAGTTATTGAATGTGATCTTTTTTAAATAATGGTTTTCTTATAACCTACACTGTTCACTGATTCACTGATGTGCATTTTCCTGTGTCCACCTTGTGTCTAATTTTTAGCTAAATTGACACATCAGCATACCATTGTTGTCTGGCAAAGTCAGCTTTAAATAGCAATATCTGTATTGCATCAGTTTTTTTCTGCTAACATGATTGTACAATTGTTTCATTTACATTTGTGGCTTGCCTTCTTCAGCATTGCAGTGAATCACTATGAGACATGATGTGTTCTTTTTAATAATTTGAAGATTTAATCAGTGCTCCTTCCTGTAGCACAACACAAGAAATACTGTATGTACAAGATTTTCTGAAATTACTAATGTTTATATGTTTGCAAGACTAAAGAGGATTGGGCAGCATTTTTCTGTCCAACCCAACCTGTTCCTGACTCATTTGAGTTTGTATGGTGTCTTCCCCTTATTAAACAAAGACATTTGAGCATTCCAGCCCTCTAGCCTAAAGTTTGACCTATGTGTCTGAACCTGGCCCAAACCCTTGGGTAACTGACGGGCCCTGTCAGGCACAGTCTGGGTATCAACACTCTAGGGTGAAGGTGTGTCCTCACGTCTGTCACGTTCCTTTTAATTTGGTTGGCAGAGGCATACAACAGTGAATAGTTTGGTTAAATACAACATGTACCCAACTGAATGTAACAAACTCCATATTCATGTGTACAAATGATTTTGATCCTAACAAACAGGTGCAATTATTTTTACTTATTAAAGTAAAACTGAAGGAATGGCTTTTACTTAGCAGTACTTTTCCTGAAGTAGTTTTTCAGCCATTGTTTATTAAGCCAAATTGCAACCCTGTATTCCAGATAAAAATGGAGATACACTAAAAGTGCAGAGTTCCAAAACTGCAGTTAAAATGTATTAAGTAATCACTTTATAGTATTTTAAAGTCCACTACTGTGCTATCAGTTTGAAGCTACATGCACTAGAAGCATAGGTGCTGACATGGACATTAGAGGATGCACTGAAACTTCCACCTGTCAGTGACTGTTTTCCTCCCATAAGCTCGCAATACTAAATGGTAACATGGTGATGAATGTTAAAGCAGGCTGTACAATTCATCCTGAGGAGAACATGAATATTTTTACCAAATCTTATGGGAATCCATCTAGAATTGTTGCACTGTTTCCATCAAAACCACAAATGCAAACCTCGTGGTGATGGGACAGGAAAAGCCATGGAACACTACAAACACTGTGGATTCATGAATATCTGTCCCCGTTCTTGTGCCTATCTATCTGGCAGACATGGAGATAGTTTATGCTGACCTGCTGATGGTGCCAACACAAGGGCTTAGGTTTGGTCTCAACATTGGTAGGGACACATCACCCTCCCCCTGCACGAACCTATACCTAAACACCCCCCCAGATTAAGATCTCTATTTATTATTTGGGTCTTATTTATTTTGGGGGGCATTTTTAAACATGAGTGAACAGGATCTTATGAAACCAACTTCTTCTGATGTAAGATTTCTTTCTAAATAAACTCATGAGCAAAGGTTGAACATTCTGAGAATAACTTTAATGCTGATGCTGATTCCAAACTAATTCATAATTATAGAATCTCACCTGAAAAGCAGAAGATGCACCTGTTCTATCATCAGCCTGCTCTGCTTCTCTTACCTGATGCTGTTTCCTATATACTAAATAATTCATTAGACGTTAAAGTGGTCATTTATACAGCTAATGCTTAAAATCCTAAATCCAATGTGCCAAGTGATTAAACATTTGTTTGCTGGCTCTAGCAAAATACTGGTCTTACATTTATATTTCTAAATTTAATCTTTAAAAGTGAAGTGCGGCAGCCCCTGTTGTGACTAAAAGTCAGTATTCACTCATTCACCAAAAATGCATCTCACGCAATTCCTGTACTGTACATACTTAACATTGTGAACCAATGAGTTGCCTAGCACTTGAACCGGATTTACATAGCACAGCTATTTTCTCTTGGAGACAAGTTCAAACTAAACACCAATTAAAACCAGTTCCAAATGAACTGTCACACTGTTCTGCGACAAACGTAATTATGCCTTAGTAGAAAATGTACAACCTGATTGAAGGGTGTGTAGAGAAAGAGTGAAAATGTGCTGGTTGTGTATGAGGGTGTGTACACAACCACGTATATACAAGCCAAATCTCATGGGAATCAACACTGGTAGGTATAATGGTTGGTGTGTAAGTAAATAAATAAATAAATACACCAAACAGTACTGGAAGAGTGTATGGGAGGAAGAGAAGGCATAATACCAGTGCCCTGTGGCTGCAGGACCTGGGAGCACACCATAGTAATCTGTCAGTCATCTGTAAATTACTTTGAATCGCATTAATCTGTATGAAAGGTGCAAATAACATATTGACTAATTCGTTGAGTTGTGGCACTGTCGCCTCACCTGGTGCCTTTCTGTGTGGAGTTTGCATGTTCCCCCTGTGCCTGTGTGGGTACTCCGGCTTCCTCCCACAGTCCAAAGACATGCAGCTACCACCCTTTTCAGGAATAAGTGTGGATGGATGGTTGAGTTGTAGAAGTGTGTGAAGAGATGGCACTCTGGGATTCTTGGGGAGCACCTGTCCCTGACAACAAAACCTCAACCACCGCTTGCTTTCAAAATTTAGCTCAAAGTTAAAAGATACACTGTTGCATGATGCCAAACCATAGTGCTATAATGAGTTTTGATCTGGTTTAAGATAAAGCACTGCTCCTGCTGCAACTTTTATATCTGTGTTGCAACACTTTTCAGTGTATTGAAAAGTTCATACCCCACAAACCAGTGTAAGCATATTTAGATATCTGTTTGATTGCTCACAAAAGGGCGTTTTTGTACATGAAACTGTACATGAAGGAGGAGTGTCTGTGGCGTAGGTTTTGTTACACATGACTTAACAACAATTATGCTCTTGTACAACATGTTCACTTTCTCACTAACACATGTCAAATGCTTTCAGAGGGTGGGGCAAAGGTTTATATAGCAGTAGAGGGTGACTTAAGAGACAAAGCAGAGCAGTGTAACACCACTGTGAATAAGAGACTAAGAGATGGAAGGTAAGACTTTTTCTCTGACCATTTTGTTGTTTTGTTATTAACATATCCCATCTTTTGTTTTGTTCTTGATCCACCTATTTTTGTCATAGAGAGTTTATGAGTTTTAAATAGTGCCATCTGACTGTTGAATGTATTTTTTCTATAGCAATTTCTTTAATTTTTCTCGTATTTGCAGATTTGAGCATTCAATATGTCAACCTGGAAAAATCTGAAAACCTGGAGAGGCACAGGACAGAGGGTTTCAGCAGCTCTGACACGCTGGTGGTGCGAAGAGGAGCCCCATTCAGACTCAGTCTGCAACTGAAGGGTCGACCCTTCAACCCCAAGACTGACTCTCTGAGGATCAAAGTTATGCTAGGTAGTCTAGATTTAGGCTTAGTTTAGATTTTGTGGCTGAAAGGCTGTTTATCAGCCACCAGTCTGAGCCACTGTTTAAAATGTGTTTGTCTAATTGTCTTTGCTCTCTCCTCAGGGCGCTTGTATATGATAATTCCAGTCACATTCTCCACAAGGGTTTCTTCCTCCCAGTGGAAAGCCTACACAGACCCAGAGGGCCTGAACCTCCAGAGCCCATCCATTTTCATCTCCTCTCCTGCCTCTGCCTCAGTTGGCTGTTACAAGTTTCAGCTCTCTGTGTTCACTAAGGATGGGCAGCAGAAGTGCGCCTTTGGAAAATTTATTCTGCTCTGCAATCCCTGGTGCAATGGTGAGTAAAAATCTAGAAAAAAAAATAAGTAAAACAAGTGGAATGATCAGATGCTTATATAAAGTAATGCAAGGTTCTACGGACACAAAAGGTTTTGGCAACTTGAAATACTGCAGCAGTAGTGAAATCAGAAATGTACTTCTAGATAAGGTTCATGAGTTCATGAGGATGGATTGCATTACTTAGTTCCTTTCATGAGAATTAGATTGCGACAGTGCAGTGGTGCTGTACTGTGTGACTAGTTTAATGACTCATGCTCAGAAGATAAGGATTCATCAGCAAATGTCTGGGACCAGCTTTGCAAAGTAGCAGAATAAAATGAAGATAAATTAAGTCTTATGTTTTGTACAGCATTATATTTCATAATGTAAATATACTAGGGTGTACTAAATGTCAGATTTATTGCCTCCAGAGGATGCAGTGTATATTCCCTTTGAGGACCAGAGAGAGGAATATGTCCAGAATGACTCTGGGTTGCTGTTTATGGGAACAGCTGCAAACCTTGTGTCAAGACCATGGTCCTTCGATCAGGTATGAAAATAACATTTGTTGAAGAGATTATTTTTGCATAATCAGTAGTGAACAGTCGATAATACACAATTAAATGTGCCAAAGAATGGAAGAGTATTCATATTATTTTGCCTCAAACAGGAGGTCAGAGCCCTAGACTAAGCAACGCCATAAAAAAAAAGAAAATTAAATTAAATAAAAATGTTATTTACAGAAGAGATTCTGACTAAACTCTGAGACAGTTGTTTTAGGCTTCATAAAGGAAGTACTTTTTTTTTTTTTACAAATACTGTTCAGTTCTAAACCTCACCTCAAACAACACATATTGCTCACTTGAGAGAGAGAGAGTTAGGCATGCAGTATATTTTTTATAATATGCTCCAGACATCATTAAAAGTTAATTTAATGTCCTCATTTCTTTTTCTCTGCCTTTAAAGTATGAGCCCGGTATTCTGGAGACATGTCTGAATGTGCTCCAAGCCAGCCCTCAGCACCAAAGCAATAGTAAAGTGGACTACCTCAGCCGAAACAACCCTGTCTACATCAGCCGGATTGTGTCAGCCATGGTGAGTGGGAAGCTTCAAGATGGGAACGAAACACTCACTACCAGTGTTTTTATGGATGACAAGATGAGCAACAAGTTATAACTTGAACTGAGGCAGTATTGTGCAGGTCGTAAACATTAAATATCAACTATAGGGACACTGTAATTTTAGTCAAGCAGTCATTAAGCTGCCACTGTGAGTCAGAATGATCTCAGAAGGTGTAAGGTGCCCAAACATGCACTGTGATCTTTTATGTATAGATCAACTGTGAAGATGACCGTGGAGTCCTGAAAGGAAACTGGTCTGGCAACTTCAAAGAAGGAGTTACTCCCTCCATGTGGACTGGGAGTGGGGAAATCTTAAGACAGTGGGCTCAGTCTGGTTTCAGCCCAGTCAAGTATGGACAGTGCTGGGTGTTTGCAGCTGTCATGTGCACAGGTGATTATATGTTGATGATTCAAAACGTTTGAAATAAAAGTCTTTAATAACCAGCAGTAAACCTTATAACTGATGTTTTATCTTCTTAACAGACTGGAAAGATTTTTTTTCATGGTGCAATGTTTAGACATATCATCCGTGCGTAAACGGCTGTGTTTTATTTGCGTCTTTCAGTCATGAGAGTTCTTGGCATTCCTTGCCGTGTCGTCACAAACTTCAACTCTGCTCATGACACCAATGGCAACCTGGTGATTGAGGAGTACTACAGCGAAACAGGGCTGAAACTCAACAACAGCAAGGACAGCATATGGTTAGAAGTGATATTTATTTACATAGCACATATGAAAGAGTTTTTTGTTATGGTTTTGGTCATTTTTTTCATGTATTATTGGTTTATTAAATTATTTTAAAGTCACTTTAATGGCATTCATTTTGTTTTTTGATGCAGAAAATCCAGTTCATGTTTAGTGATATCTTATTTTGGTCCTTTTTAACAGGAACTTCCACCTCTGGGTGGAGTGCTGGATGACTCGTCCGGACTTGGGATCTGGAATGGATGGCTGGCAGGTTCTGGATCCGACTCCCCAGGAGAGGAGTGCAGGTGTGTGAGTAACAATGTTGGACCTGTTATGTAAAGTATCTTATTCTGTTGGTTATCTCATTAATTTTTTTCTAAACATTGCCATAACCTTCTTTTGTTCCTTCCTTCCTCCTAGGAGTGTTCTGCTGTGGCCCAGCTCCTGTCAAAGCAGTCAGGGATCGGCGTATCGACCTGCTTTATGACATCCCCTTTGTCTATGCTGAGGTGAACGCTGCCGTCCAAACAATCATAGTGAGCCAGGGCCGGGTGCACAGCCTCAGCAAAGACACTGAGAGAGTTGGATCCCTCATCTGCACCAAAGCTGTTGGCTTCCCTAGACTCCAGAACATCACAGGAGACTACAAGTGCATCAAAAGTATGATACAAAAATATGAAATACTGTACATTCATTTATTTGCTGACAAGCCTAGTCAGAGAAGCAGCATAATGTTTGTTGTAAGGCATAAATATCTGCCCTGCTCATGTTTCTTTCTGTCTTTGCAACATAGGCCCAACTTCAACACTGTCATCAAGAAGTTCCACAATATCAGAAGACTCAACCATAAGGAGAGGTAATTTTGAAATCATACATGAATCAGACTAGTTATGTGTTTAGAAATGCGTTATCTCACACAGTGTCTCTCTTTATGTTTATCCAGCGAGCTCATCCAAGGGAGTGTTAGTCTTCCTGACCCTGAAAAAAACTCCTATTGCTGGGGAGCCCATCCGCTTCACAGTTAAAGTCATGAACAAGCACCATGTGACAAAGATGATGAAGGTGCATCTCAATGCTCAGGCCAAAGAATACCACCACACACTCTCGAACACCTTCTGGGAAGACCACGGCGTTATACAGCTGGCCCCCATGGAAGGTAAATTTACTTCTTGATCAGCTACAAACTCAGTTTTACTTCTGGAGGACTGTTGTGGTTCTCGTTGGTTATTGTAATTGGATGTGATGATTCATTTCACACACTTTAACTCTCTCTTTCTTTCCAGTCAAAGTGCTGCACCAGCAGATCCTCCCAGCCCAGTACCAGGGCATGGTGGGAGAAAACCTGGTCAACCTTGCAGTTGTTCTGGTGGATATGGCCAGTCAGGAGCACGCTCTGGCCTCAAAGGAGTTCAATATCACCAACCCACAGCTCACCATACAGGTACTTTTTGAATATTACTCACCAGAAGTTTAGAATTTATTTCTGTTGAGGAATTTAAAAAATAAAATGTATATTTTAGACTCTTTAAATTCAAGAGTTAATCTTATCCTATCCTGCTGGCCTCTCCATCGAATGTAACATACAGTATGTAACACAGCCAATAAATGATGAAAAGTGCAGATTTTTTTTTTCGTTGCAAAAAATCCCATTTTTATGTACCAAATATGTTATAGTAAACAAAGGGGATAATGTATAAAATTATTTGCAACTAAAGTGAAAATCTGTTATATACAGCTTTAATTAAGAGCTGTATAGAATCAAAGCGATAGTTGCTCTGTTTAAAGTTATTTGAGGGGTTATTCAAACAAATATTCAGGGTTCATTAAAACACATTTGTCCTTCAGATTGCAGATGAAGACTCCATTGTGCCTGACAAGGAGCAGATGGCCACAGTGGCCTTCACCAACCCATTTTCTCAGCCGGTTAGTGGAGTACTGACTGTAGCCGGGGCCGGGCTGATCCAAGGCAAGGTTCACTTCAGGTAAGACTGCTGATTATTTGTCTTCATCTGTCATTCATTTTTCTTGTACGTGTTGAATGGTTAATGTCATGGGCATTTTAGTGATGCATGCACATATTGAATGGCTGCAAAATGAATATGTGAAGTGTTTCATTTTCAGACAGGAGAGTGTCACTGTGCAGTACATTACAGCGCCTCAGTACAGTATGTCTTTGTAAAAGGAATGTAGGTTTGTTATGCAGATACTGTTTTGTGAATGTTTGTGTTCAGGCCGGTGTAGCTAGCATCATCAGCTACACTGCTGCATGCTGCTGACTGGGGCTGAAAATGATTAGTATGCAATGCAGTTATTTATGGTTATTTGATTATGAGTATTATTAGCTACAGACAAAAATATAACCTGACATTTCAATGGACATACAAAGTTTCTACACATTCACAGGACAATTATTTTACCTTAGCTTTCATTATATAAATTGGTCTGATGCAGTCGACTCCAACAAGGTGAAAACAGGTCACAGCACTTCTTGAGAAAGGAGCCATCATCAGCCATTCAAAATGACTGCAGTAGTAATACTTCAACATTTTGTAAACTCTTCATTATCTTCTCTGTGTCATCCTGCAGGATGCTCCCACTACATCCAGGAAAAAGAGTGGAGCGGCGCATCACTTTCACCCCCAGCATGGTTGGAACTAAGATGCTGCAGGCCAGTCTGTCACTGGCAGAGAATAACTCCTCAATCAGAGGCTTCAAGATGTTCTTTGTCAACAGAGCCTAGATCTATTTTCAGAGTCTCCCCACCCCCTGTCATTTCTGATGTCAGTGTTGTTTTGCCTTTTTTTGTTAGGCTTTATTAAGTTAAAGAATGGCAACCAGATGGCAAAATCATCTGCAGAGGAGAGCTTCACATTGCAGCCTTCCTCATGTTTTTCTGTATCTATGTAAGATATTAGTGTGAGTGTACTATAAGTTATATTTATTTATTTTGATATTTATTTTATTTATGTCTTTGAGCCAAATCAACCTTACCACTTGAAAATCTGTATTTTTATTTGAAATTGAGAAGTTGCAACAAATAATTTTTAATGTACTGTGGTGCTTTAGTTAAAAAAAAGAAAGAAATAAACTGTATGCTACATTTCCTCATGGCAGATAATATATGAATGTACTTATTTTTATTGTAGTTGCTGTCCTGACCAGAAGAGGGAGAACCTTCCTCAAAAAAAAAAGGTTTCTAGCAGACTGAACCAGTCTGCTAGAAATGCTTCTCAAAGTGATAATTGCATGTAACTGACACCATGATCATTCATTTATTTTTTTGTAATTTATACCTTCTTGCATCATAAGCCTCCAGGTTGAGTAACTCTATGAAATGAAATTAGGTGACACTGCACTTCCCCCACAATGCAATTAATTTATCTTTATTCATCTATTTTAACTGTCTGTCAAAACAAATCGACAATAAAGCATTATATACAAATCATAGCTAAGCTGACAGGCAGTGTAATCGGCACATGCACAATCATACCAGATCATCTATATTACAAACAGGTTATTAGGAAATTAGTCAAGGACAGAAAAAGTGAATTAAAACATAATAATATATACAACCCAGAATCAAAAGTAAAGATTTGAGCCTATAATACAGCATCTTCAAGACAACTTCAGATCAAGATTTATGGTCTCTGAAGGGGATTTTTATGCTGAGCTCTGTATTTCATTGTGTTGTAAAACCAAACCAATAATAAATAGCTTAAAATACAGACTATTTTTAATAGTCTCTAACTATGACAAGAATGTTATTTGACATTTGTCTGGCCAAAAACAAATCCAAAATAATAGTGAAGGCAAAATCTATCCCAGGTAACATCACAACTTATAGCCCTGCTTCTAATCTTTTCTTTAAAATAGTATTGCTAAGAGAAAATTTAGTAAGTCTCAGAACAAACATAAAAACACACAGTAGAACAAACAAACAAACAAAAAATCTAACTCTTCATTCATGCAGACATACTCGCTTCGGTCATTAAACAAGATGTAAGATTTTGTATTCAGTGCAACACTTTTTTTTGTGTACACAAGAGGGACACCATTCATATAGCTGAGATGAACAAAGTTTAAAAAAAGGAAAAGTGTTTTTTAAGTATATGCAGTATTAACCATAGTTCCCTAGGGGTATTTATGGAGCTTTGGTCTCTTATTTTACTTTGGTCCAGCACTTTGGGCTTCACGGTTATGTGTCACAGACATACTGCAGCCTCACTTCAAAATCCTTACAGTTCCTTTGGCTTTAATGTGAAATGGTTTGTCTGAATGCTCTCTCGAAATAGCGATACTGACTCTGAATCAGTCTCTAGGGACACCGTCACCCGCTAGCTGCACTCGAGAGCCATAGAGCTTCTGATATTTCAGATGGAAGAACAGAGAGCAGCAGCTGGCGCCCTCTAGAGGTAATCCAGCTCCAGTGCATGGCTCAGAGCCTCCAGGTCTGCCCGACAAGACACCCTCCAGAATGGCATGTTCTTCTAAGGAAACCGCATTAAAATTAAAATTAAATGGAGGTTTAATGTAGAACATGTAAACTCAGACATACTTGCAGTGCTCCTGCAGATGCACTGCAGATGTGCAATATGGACTGTAGTATATGACAAAGGACATGTGGATAACATGTTTGCTTATAATGTATCAAAAATAACACAAGAGAGAGACATTTGCTGAACAGCAAAATCCAGGTGAAATTCTGACATTTCAATGCAAAGAGTACAAAAAAATGCTGCAGAGATCAAGTGTCTTCTAAAGTTAACTGATTAGTTGTGGCCCATTTATCAAGAGTCGGAGTCATAAAACAGAGTGAACCATACCTTTTTGGCCACAGTCTCTTCTTCAGCTCCATCTCCTATCACCACATACACTGCTCTCCGACCAAACCGCTGAGAGACACGTTCAAAACAGCTCTCTTTGCCTTTAAAAAGACAGAAAATCAAAGGTTAAGTGCTTAAAATGGTACCTTTGAAGATACACTTTAAAATAGGAAATTATAGCCTGAGGTTGACTGAACTCTAATGGCGATTCTAAATCTTCCCATGTACTTTCTTTCTCAGATTTTCCTCACCTGTCTTGGTGGCACTGTATATGTTCTCTATGGGGAAAGCTGAGCCCAGGCCATACAGTAACACCTTGGAGAGGGCTGGGATGAGCTGCGTGGTGGTCACCAACACATTCACACAGTTAGGCCTGGAGCAGGAGAGGACCGACACATTTACTGCACAGGTAAGTCATGACCAGTGTTGTAAAGTACATAGCTAAGTAACTTTACTCATGTACTGTATTGTACTTAAGCACAATATTGAAATTCTTGTACTTAAGGATATTTTTATTTTATTTCACTACATTTCAAAAGAAAACAAACACACCTTTTACTCCACTACATTTGCTGTTGGTTTTCATGTTAAGATTGTGAAAACAAAACTAATGATCTAAAATATGACCCAACATTGTAGATTGTAGTTCAGGTTAACCAGCTACAATAGTAGAATTTTACTTACACATTCAACATGTACAATTCAACAGTAATAATTATCTAATGCAGTAGAAATAATAACTTAACATTACTATTACTTTTGCACAATTAGTACTTTTACTTTTGATAAATAAGAACACTTAAAGGATTGTTATAATAATAAAACATATTTTTACTTAAGTAAGATTCTGAATGCAGAATTTTACTTAAGTAAAAAGTCTTTTTACATTGTGGTACTGGTATTTTTACTTGAGTCAAGGATGTGAATACTTCTTCCACCTGTGGAATGGATGTCTTAAATCTTACAGCATCATATAGTAGAGCAATCAGCTATTGTTAAATGACCCACTGGTGCCAATCAAGCCATGGCAGCATGAACTGACCTGGAGTTGATGAGCGCCAGGGCTTTGAGCGCTTGAGTCAGCCACAGGTCAGTCAGGACCTCCATCTCTCTCCTCAGCTGTAACCACTCCTCTCGCTTGGGGCTGCCCAGCAAACCTGCCCATAAAGGAGAAGCACACGCTTGATGGTTAGAGTTTGTAACAAAGCAGGGAGGACCATAACCCTCAGAGAAGCTGAGGCAGTCTAAATAGTTTTGAGTATACGATAACTATCTTTACTGTATATCTAAAAGCTTTATACATCAGTGTTAGATGTAAATACATAACAGCTTACCCCCGACATTATTCTTGTATGTGTTGTAGATCTCTTTGACTCTGCGGTATCGAAAAGCAAGTTTCCTCATCCAGTCCACCCCCCCATGGACCCCTGACCCAAGGCACAGAGAGCCAGGCCCTGCTGGGCTCTGGAAGCCGTCTGATCCAAAGTTGTAAGTGCTGCATGATCACAATACAGGAAACAGCCAGGGTAGATCATAAAATCACAAATAGTATTTTTCCAGATCATCTTATACAGCAGTATCACTATCATCAGTATTTCAGGCAATGCTTCAAAGAACTGCAGATACAACTGTATTCATGGTGACATTTTAAAGTTCTTGCAAGTTAATGCAAATGATTCAGGCTATGAAAGAGAAGGCAGTACTTAAACATTCATCAAATGTACAGAGGTGTGCCAATGAGACCACTAACATTTCAGGGTCAAGACATGCTTTAAAATTGAATTATGCTGTAAATGAGGCTTTTTCAGTATAAAACCATCAAGTACATTATATAGATTTAACATAAGTAGAAAAATATAAAAACAAAAAAGTACTTTGGTACAGTCTGGCTCTTTCTCCTAATACTCCTAAAAGTATTCTGAACTGCTTCAACAAGTTTGTGCAGTAAAATATTGTCTGTATAGGGGTAATGGTAAAGACATATTTCGATAAGAAATGAAACCATAGGATAAGCATGTGACATATTATATGGCTGCGGAAGTTGGGGAAACAAAAAACGTGCACATGCTTGCATGCGTGAACACACACTCCTCATCTCATCTTGCTGCTTTTTCCTCCTGTGCACTAAAACCCGGAGGGCAAGTCTGGTTCTCAAGCCACAGTAGAAGTGTCAGACTCTCTCATCATGAGGTCTAAGTACAGTAACACAGTATAAGCTTTACCTCAGGTCCTGTCCGTTGTCGTCTGATGCCACGTCATCAATGTGAACCTGGTCACATTCCTGGGAAATGAAAAGGAGAGCGGATATATCAAGAGATACATTTCAGAGCGGAGCCCTGTACAGGCAGGTCTCTCCTGTTTAAGGGAGCCTCCGGGAGTGATAGTAGCTATGAAAACTTAAAAAAAAGAGCTAAAACAAATGACAAAGAAGGAGGAAATAAGGTGTCAGGACACGGGACAGCGAGGCGCCATGAGATACAGGGCAGTCAACATGGCGGTGCAACTCTAGTAAAACCACATGGTAAACTAAAGTAAAATAAGTCTGCATTTTTCACAGTGCATCCAAAATTTTGTTTAAAAAAATATCATCTTAAGAATGGCCCTCTGTCTTAAACAAGCACAGTGGTGTGCATGTGGTTCCTCTCTGTTGGATGTAAGAGCAACCAACCAAACCACAGGGATTAAACTCACACTGTAGCTTAAACATATGGCTTCCTCAAAAAATAAAATAAAATAAATAATAATAATTGTAAGATCTCTCTTATTTCTCTGTGAGTCCAGCTTCAAGCCTCTAAATCCGATAGCCGTCTATTTTTCATTCACACACACACACACACACATAATACACGAGTCCTAGTATAACTCCCAGTTGTCACCGGTGACCCAGGGGAACACAGGCTCTCCTATCACTTTACTGTCGTGTTGAGCCAGACAGAGACGCTACCTCATCTTCCCTCCACCTCTACTGTACATAACTCATATCTCAAGAGCTGCAGTCCACCTCCCACTCAGCTGTCATCCACCCCTGTAGGGCCACTACTACAGGCCATAACATACAAATGAAAGTTTTGGCACTGTGCACTCAGAACAGCCCCACACAGTGACATTTCATGTAATCTTATTTGAAATTATTTTCAAAAACTGGAAATGAGGTGGAACACAGCCACAGCATCAGGTTTGTAATCAGGAAAATGTTAACTGGAAATTCAAACTTTGATTAATAAGGCAGTTGTTCCTGCCAATTATAATTATGTAGTTTTCTTGTGGTATTTCAGACATGACAGCAGTGATAACACTTATAGCTGCTGATGTAGCTACTGACAAAGGAGGGACAAGATAATTGTACCTCAAGACTTAACAGCAGTTGTCAGCCTGCAGTGGTCTACTGCTTTAGAGATTCACTGAGCCTTGACAACAAGAAGGGGGATAAAAACCAGGTTTGCAAATAGCTTTGCTGGCTCCTTTCCCTTTGTTTGACTGTTCCTCCTCCCATTTGACTAATTTTCTTCTTGGACGCTCAGACACACACCTATAATTACAGCACAGAGTGTACTTGTTCTCTCACTCTTTTTTCAACCTTTGTCTTTGTCAGAACAAGGAGGAATGCACGATTAAAAACATGCACGTGACTAGCAGGTAGTTAAACAGCATTTTAATGACCCCTTAAGAGTTTTTTTTAAAGGAGTCACCATGGTGACGCAGCAGTTAGCGCTGTCACCACGCAGCAAGAGGGTTACGGGTTTGAACCCGGGCCAACCCGGGGACTTTCTGTGTAGAGTTAGCATGTTCTCCCGGCGCCTGTGTGGGTTCTCTCCAGGTGCTCTGGCTTCCTCCCACAGTCCAATAACATGCAACCTAGTTTGACTGACAACTCTAAATTGACTGTGAGTGAGCGTGGGTGTGTGTAGTTGTCTGTCTCTTAATGTCAGCCCTGTGATAGACTGCCGACCTGTCCAGGGTGGACCCCGTCCCTTGCCCAGTGTCAGTCCCCCTGTGATCCTCTTCAGGATAAGCAGTATGGATAATGGAGTCACCACTCCTAAAGGTAAAAATTCAACTTTGGTAGATTTTTAGCCAGGACGTCTAACTGTCAAGTCACTCAGGAAGGGAAATAGTTTATGAATTAATACAAGATAGATGATGTGTTAGGGGAGGTCTACAATGGATGCCAACACCCTAATGTCAAATTGGCTAGGCTGCTACATGGAAAGGCCTTTTGTTCTCATTGCTGCTGTTTTCCAGATTTCTGGGAAAAGTCTCACAATTGTTACAAAAACACTGACATGAAGTGTAGTGAGAAAAGAATGTTTAAATCTACATAGTGTGATTTCTGGGCAAAGAAAAGTATAATCTCCAAGATAAAAGTTTAAGTGAATGGCTGCCAATTAAACACAATTTAATCCTGCAACTGTAGAAATGTATTAAAAATTAAATTAAATTAAATTAATGTATTTAGACATTATCACACAAACTCACCTCCAAATCATTGAAGAAGAGTCTCGAGTCAGCCAGATTGAAGATCATCTCCTCCATCCACAAGCCAAGAGATGCTGCCTTTGAGGAGTCCTGATGCACATGGGCACATAGACACACACACACACCTTAAAATGAATACCTTACTTTAAAAATCTTCTGCATATTTTATCCTTGCAAATCTACAAAGAGAGAGACAAAGTGACATCACACAGTTAAGAACAGGCAGGAAACCTGTGAAATGTATTTGTTAATCACAAATGCGGTTTTCCTTTTGGCATCTTCAGCAACAATGACTGTATTGTATTTACTGTATGTGTCTACTGTTTGTTATGACGCATGCCCATTGCACATACAATGTGTAAACACATTCCCCCTCAGCCACATGTAAAAACTAAACTAGTCGCATACTGTACGTTTTTAAAGAAAGAAAACTGGTTTGTTGACCTCGCTAATAAAATGAAAACAACAAAAAACAACAAATAATAAAATCATGAGCTCAGGGAGAGATTGATGGTCTAACTGAATTATTAAATATCACTACACTTGTCATGCTACCAGGTCTTGTCAGTGTTGTTGGCGCCTGCTTGTTTTCCTGAACAGCTTTCATTTCACTTCTTCTGCAAACTCATGAGCTGGGTTGACAGAAAGAAGTACCAGGGAAAGGCAAGTGTGAATGTTTATCTGTCAAATGCTCTGCTGATTTTTGATTTGATTATCTTTAATTTGGCACACCCATTTCGCCCACTGTTCTCCACTGGCCCTTTTTCCTAATTTACTTCCAGTAAATTCAGCACAGACATATTCAGTTTAGTTAGTTTAATTCACTCCTGACTTTGTGAAAAACTCTGGGAACACCTTTTTATTAAAGTCATGTATGATCCATTAAGTCAGTCATCTCCAGGCTTAAGCAGCCATATCAGTGTTTTTGCATATTATGATCCTGCGAGGCTGCACAGCAGTGCTTTGCACTAAATGCATGCTCACAAGTTAGTTCATCTTACCATGCTAACATTTGTGTACTAGCATTATCGACAATACTGTACAGCTCTGGCTGATGAGTCGGGACCAGACTGAACAACAACCTCCACCCAATGAGCAAAGCTAGTGTCTCTAAAAATGAATGCAGCTCACTGAGATGGCTTAAACATGACAAGGCAGTGCAGATTTTATATCTGAATTCACTCAGTCAAGTATTTCAGGAAAGCAAACATATATAGTTGATACACTGTATATTGTGTCTATGTATTGTATACTCTGTTAATGTTGGTCTTCCACTACCTTCACCTGCTTTCAGTGTTTTCTGTTTGTATCAACACTTCACACCACCTAACCTCTCTTCTCTTTTCTCGTATAAAAAAAAAAATCTAGTAATTACTTGGGTGTTGCATTACACTAAATTCAATTTTGCTTCTTATGAACAAATTATAAATCAGCATTGGGAGAAACACATCAATCATAATGTGCAGGTAGTCAGGTTGACACACCGCGTGGGCGTGTGTCATTCAAGATTACAAAAGCAGGTGTGTGTACATTTGTGGCATGATGTTTTGATGCCAGTATTGGTTCATCGTTGGCAGCGAAACAGGAGAGGTGTCAGCCAAAGGTGAACATAAGATTAATGCATCTGAAATGACAAGCAGAATGGGCTCCTGGCTCAGAATCGTAGGAATGAGCTTGATGATACAACTAGGGTAAATGACGACAATTATAAAACACCTCCCTTGGAATAAAAGGCATAAGAAGAAAAGGGTAATTGAGAATGACGGGGGGCAAAAGTTCAGTAGGAGGAGTAGAATGACAAGGAGAAAATGACGAGGGGCAGGATTCAGAAACTCCGGCCAAAAGAAGAGGAGGAGATGAATGCGAACGACAAAGAGGGAGGGGTTAATGGCTTAAGAGAGGTTTGTTCTGTTTGTCTAATAACTGAAATAATTATCTGTAATCACCTTCCTCAAAGATGAGGGCTGCTTCTCTACAGAAGGACAAATAAAAGCCTCTTTCTGTTAATCCCTTACAAGAATTTAAAAGACAAAAAAGGTGAGAGAAAAAGACAAAAAGCACCCAAAACGTGCTCCCTGCATGTCCTGTTCCCACCATAACCCTTATGCAGGGGACGCTGGATATCAAAGACAAAGCTAAGGAAGAAAATTCACACACTACAAGACAGATGATACATACAATCATGGGAGAGCTGTAGCAGCGGAGGTGAATCTGCTCCTAATGTGGATCTCTGTTCACCTCTGGCTAACCAAGCTGGTGAAAATAAATTCAACCTGCACATTATTCTTTCCTGCAAGCTGCACCCCTACTTGTCTTTGCATAGCCTATAGGTTCAAACATTTGTTGATGATAAGAGCTTAAAAGACAGATCGTAAGAAGAAGTCTGGTTGTTAAATCTAGACATGAAATGGGAGCCAAATTGGAGATAATTCATGTCAGAAAAATGTATTATGGTTGTCAGAGAGTTAAAAAAAAAAAGATTCTAGCTTGTAAGCTGTCTTGACCCTTCAGACTGTTAGTTTTTCTGCTGTCAGTCATTTAATTCTCCTGCTGCATGTCTGAGTTTTGATGTCAGACTTTGTCCAACTGAGCTTCCCTGTGATCCAGCAGCGGGGTATTTGGGCAGTGGGAGGAATCAGGAATTTTTGGCACAGGAGTCACGTTTCAGTAGATTTACTCTCTTGCTCTCCATCTCTCTCCTGATAGACCATAGCAGAAAAAAAAGGCAAAGAAACAATGGCATGCAGGGCTTGCAGAAATGCTGCTCTTAAACTCCCATCAGCCTTGTGTCAACCCACAGGGGGGCTGTGAGAATTCAAAACACAGAGCCCCTGGCCAAAAACAAGGAACACACCACTGTCCGCTCCTTGTCAGCTGCCTGTCTGTTACTGTATGCAAAGATCCCTCTGGCTGCCAATCACACTGCTGGATGCCGGGGTAGCTAAACAGTCCCAGTGCATTATGAAAAGAAACAAGAGGGAAGAAAGGCAAAACAGCCAGCGTGTGAAAATGCTCAGGGACGAGACCCAAAGGTCATGGACTCAGCTCACGCAGTCAAACCTTTGACTCATAGTCAAATAAGCACTTGAGCACTGAAACAAAGGGTGATTTGACTAAAGCAAGATTACACTAGTCTGCTGTTGTGCCAGACTGTACCTACCTACCAACCGCATAATTAACCGTTGTCAAAGTGTGATAAGCTACAGCATGCAGTTGTTACGGTAAATGACAAAGGGAGGGGTTGCATTGCTGTACCTTGCCAAATCGTGAGGAGAAGGTTCCCGTGAGGAGTGAATGGAAAATGATGATGGTTTCATCCAGATCCCAGATAAACACTCGCTGCAGTGAAATAACAGATATGTAATGTCAACCTCATGAACATTTATATGTGTGTGTGAGAGAGAGAAAGGTAAATATTCTAGAGAAATACTCATAGTTTTTCAACACCGTGTGAGCATTTGTTTACCTCTATATCAGAGTCCAGAGGTGGAGCGGGGTCACTGACTCTTTTCCTCCCTCTCAACTTCCCATCTGACCCCCTTCGTGCTGAGACCCCCTCTTCTTTACCTGGTGTCGGGGGGCTTGGTGGCGGGTGATACTCTCCTGAAACACACATAAAACAAAATAGCAGATTGTTCTTTACAAAACAAGCTTTTTGTCAGATTCAGTTTTTATTAAATCTAGAGCAGGTTAAGTGAGAACTCCACAAAGTCAACATGTTAAGTCAAGTTACTAGTAACAGAGACTTAGATCTTCATATTCAGGGGACTCAAAGTCATTTTACCCAGATTATTCACTTGCAGCATTTTAATAATAATACAAAACAACTTTGAATCTGAGTAGCTCTATGTTTCCTCACCTTTCCCTCGACCTAGCATACTACTCCACATGTTTGGTGACGTAAAGCCACTGGAGATTGTTGTGAAAACTGCAGATGAGACAGGAAGCAGTCACATTTAGCTCCGTAAAAATTAATTAGTTGTCCACCTCTCCTGAAACTCTGTGTCAGGTGTGCTTCTGTAAACCAGATTGCTGATTACAGTATACTGACAAGTTAGGTGCACATATTGCTAGGAAATTAAATGCTTATTATAAAATTTATAAAATTAAAGACAAGAAAAACAATGGAAAATCGGTTTCTGGGCCAGATGTAACAATAACCTTTAAAAATGTGGGGGGCCTTAAAAATTGTCTCATGGGCCAGTAGCATGTCACACTGCAAGCTACATAAATGTTTCTGTAATTTCAAATGGGTTTAAATTCAGCATGACTGAATAAAATCCTTTTTCAATTTTTGCTAGTTTCATTTTATGTCTATCTGTGTGCAGTATGTTGTCTTTGGGAGTAGTCTGGCTTCCCTTTGTCACTGTGTACTTTATTTCAGTGGCAGTCTATAGAACATAAATATTCAAACAAAGAGCAGGGGTTGTAGTTCTCACCTGAGTGTGACTCTGGGCTGTGAGTGGGCAGCATGACCGGGTGTTCTGGATGCTGATAGGCTAACGGAGCTGTGATGGCAGCGGGGCTGATGTTGCTGCTGGTTAGGTAGGGGCTGTTGTAGTGGTGGGAGTTATAATATGGAGGATACTGACTCTGGCTGTAGCTTGAGTATGCAGAAAACTCCTGTCAGGACAGAGACGATGGCAGTGGCATCAAAATATGTACATTTTCATTTCAAAACCAAAGTCAGTAATGTTACTGACAAACGATAGGAGCTGATACCAAAATGCTGAATTGCTCACTTGTTGGGTTGGGTTGAATGGGGCTGAACTGGAGATCGCATGGGTGCCTTGAAAAATCCCAGATGAAATACCACCACCTGAGAAATGGTATAAAGACATAGGTCAAACTTTTAGGTAATAGTCAATCATGGTCAGCTGGTGGGAGATTTGACTGTTACATTTTGTACTGATGAATCAACTTCAGATATAATTTGATAACATCTGATCTGATCTGTGAAGCTGTGCGACATAAGTAATGAGCTGTAAATTCTAACTCTTTCTTCTCTGACAGCTCAGTGCTGCAGGAGCTGACAGTGAGATTTATGCTTGACATAACAATACAGGTGGGAAAGTCTTCTGCTTCTGCTGCTCTGGGACTCTTTTCAGTCTAATCAAGCCAAGGTTGGAAAGTCTTCCTCCAAGCAATTTCCTCCCACGGTGACGCTGTCTCATCCTGTATCGTTTCTGTCAAGTCTGTCCATGCTGTTTGTTTGTCTGATTAATTACATCTCCTGTAATCGTATCACCTCCACCCACGCCACAGAATAATATTTTGAACTTTCATTACTCTCCTTCTGTTTGTCTGTTGGCTGGATATGTCAAAAGTTCACAAACGGATTTTTTTTTTTTTATAAAGTCTTGAAAAGGACTGGTCACAAGCCAAGAATGAACTAATGAACTTTCGATATCAGTTGCCAAAGTAGTTCACTGTGCCTTTCATTAAGGGCATATAAACTCCCTGTGACCTCATGATTGTTAACCTTTGAGAGTTGATAAGCAAACAATCCATAGATGATCCATTCAACAATTAAAAAGCACAGGGGTAATGGAAATGGTTTGCAATACTTGGTAATAAGTCTACAGAGTCTACAGTGGTAGGTAACTGGTCACAATCTGAGGTATTAGAGAAGTGAAAAAAATAAGAGAAACAGTTAAATAACATCTGCGAATAATTGCTTGGTTTCCAACTTTATCTTTTGCAACTTACAGCAGAAAGGTACACTTAAAGGATTAGGCCGGTCATTTTCTATATTAACAGCATTTTCAACACTCCCCATACAGAGAGTAAATCCAACAATGATTTGCCTCTACTCACGATCAATGTCTGTCAGAACTGACTTAGCTTATTCGTCTGTGCCATAGATCTCCATTGTTGTTCAAAAACTATTGAAAACGCAACAGGGAAACACACAGCTGCCCTGGGTGACATCTGTCCTCATTACAAAAACATCAGACCTTGACATTTTTTAAAAATGTTGCCTAAAAGGCTCCAAATAGCTGTAATTTTTTTCAGCATCTGGAGTAAACAAGAGTCAAGAGCCCATGCACAAGACCTCTGGATATTCTTAACAAATATTGTGCTTCATAATGAGGAAAAATGTCACTAAATGCAGCGGTGTGCTTCCCTGTTGTGTTTGTAATTGTTTTTAAACGTCACTGGAGGTCTATGGCATAGACAAATAAGCTGATCCAGGGCTGACAGATTTTAATCATAAGTAGAGACAAATTATTGTTGGTCTTAGTTTCTGTATGAGGAGTGGTTGATAACACTGTTTATAAAATGATCAGCCTTATTATTTAATACAATGTAGTTTAAGTGATTACAGGCAATGGTTTGTACAACATGTTTCCCTGTAAGGGTTACGTTTACTCTTCTCTTCTGACAGGACCAAAAACATCCTGAAATATTTTTTAAAGATTAATTTCCTCAAGCCTACCTCCCATCATTTCCTCACTACTGCTCTCTCTTGTTCCCCATTTCTTCTTCCCCACTCCACAGTGCATGACAAACAGAAGAATAATGACTCAGTGGACGAACCGCACTGAAACTTCCCCGAACAACACTTCAAAGCAACTAAAGGAAAAATACAGGAGGTCTCCTAAGTAAACACAGAAAAGGCTCCCATAGCCCCCATTTGGTTTCAGTTGTACACACAGTATAGTACGCGTTTCAGTGGATTTTTGTGGTGTGTGCGAATGAATATTGTATATTGTGTACAGTATAATGGATGACATGGAAACATTCTGAAATCCTACAAACATTTAGATGTTGTGGCAGTTTATTACTGTTTGAAGTTTGCAGTTAATGATTTATGCATAAAAATATTCAAACAAATTTGTTTTGTTTGGGAACAGTGTCCTTCAAAGTCAGACTCTGCTTGGTTTCAAAATGTTTGTTGGTCATTGAAAGCACGGTCATTGTAATTTGCAATTTCTAGGAAGTTGAATCAGAAATGTGTTTACATGAGAATGTACAATCCCATGTAATGTCTGATGTTTGAATCTTCTCTTATAGAGGGAGTAATACCAAAAAGTGAATCTTTGAATGGGTTACAATAGTCTCCGTGTAGAAGGCCACCTATTAGTCATCACATGACCAAAGACCAAGAATGAACCATGACAATCACTAGCTGTCTGATCTTGGGTGGAGTTTGTTCTTCTTCATGAACAAATAAAGCAGCTACAGCTGTACTTAACCAAATACTGGGCATGAGGAAATGTGACATTCTGACCTTTTTCATTTAGGGTCTGAATCAGGACTGTGTACTACTAGATACAGTCCTTATGGTATATCAACAAAAGTGGTCAGGCCAGCACTACTGAGGGATTATGCTGTTGTTATGGATGTATGTTATGGATAATTCAGTCATTTCTTGTTTCCATAACTGTAGCCCTTATTTTTATAGGCTACGGTAACAAGCCGTTGCTGAGACCTGGGAATGCAGTGTAATCACTACAATAATGTCAGAAAGGGCAAAAAAGTACATGTGGTCAAATGATCAACCAGGTTATTTTGCCTGATTATTCATATGACTTTCTCTGAACATAAATCTGAATGTGAGTACAATGAATTGTTGGTAACATTACACAACTAAGGATAGTACAGTAGACCAAAACTAAACAAATACGTCAGTCTGTAAACTATCATGTGTGATGTTTGTACTGTATCGTTTAGGTAGTACTAGTTAGCTTTTTTTTCTTATCCAAATAAGACTGGCTGACCTCGGTGTTTGTTTACAACCTGTATGACCATCATTGAACCACTAGTGTTTCCTGTTTCATGAGAGATCATTTTACTGATGCTGCAGTTTTCCCACCTCTCAGCAATCGCTCCTTTGTTTATAGTTGGTGTAAAGCCATAGAAATGAAATTACTTCTGGTGGAACCCAACAAACACTGGTGAAAAAAGTGTCATCACTGTGTTTCTTAGATGTATAGTTGCAATCAATTGTCACAGAAGTAGGAAAACACTCTTTTAAGACTGGGCAGATTGTATGTGGATGCAGTGCAGAGCATATACAGTATGTGACAACAACTCATCTCTTTACTGTATGCTGTTTTGTCTCTCCTTTGTTTCATATTTTTAGTGACAATGAGGTCATCTGCAACATTACACGTACTCACCCCTCCATAAAACGCACCTTAACCTCTCCCCTCTCACACACAAGGTCAATTTCACACTGCTTTCAAAACCATAAACTCACACTGAGCGAGTCATGCTTTGGGCGCCGGACAACTGAGGAATGTGTACAGCAGAGACACACACACACACACACAGCCATGTGTGGGCAGAGGGCTGCCCACACTCCAATGCATAGCACGTCTTCATGTGAGCATTTTCAGCAAAGACCCTTTACCCTTCTTTTGTTTTGCCCATTATTGTTTCCCATCCTCCTAATTTCTCTTCCTTTCTGTGTTCTTTACTCTTTTTTTTCTAAGACACACAAGCCCTTGCATGCTGTGTTGTTGGTCTGAGTGGAGAAAGGGGGCCTGACCCCAAGAAAAGAGGAGGGGTGGGGAGACTTTTGACGCCAGGAGTCCAGACCACAGCTAATGGAGAACAGGTGTGTGGGAGAGAGAAGGAGAGGAGAGGGAAGATTTGGATAGGAGAAAGAAAAGAAGTGAAAGAGTTGAGGATGGCAGTAAAAGGATGGATGCTAAGGTTGAAATCAAACATTCTGTACTGGTGTGTGTGTGTGTGTGTGTGTGTGTGTGAGTACATTCAGTACACTCAGACTAACCATGTGTGTGTGAGTAGCTGTAGAGGCTTTGACTGGGAGGAGTGCTGCTGAAGTTTGAGTAGCCTAGTAGCCCTGTCTGTCCAGGAGAGTGACTCAGGCCATCCTCGGTTTTAATGTCTAGAAGGAAAGCAGATGATTTATATCACAACCAGGATGAACATGTAGTGAAATATAAAAAACTGACATTTTTTATCATTTCCCTAGAAAAGTCCCTTTTCAGTTATGTTGATGTTGCCATATGTACCGCACTGTAATTGTCTTTATGTTTTTAATAAAAAGAGCCACACTAAGTTTTAAATATAAAAATATAATAATTAGATTATTACTCTTTGAAGTTTGCTCTAATAATCTAAAATCTAGCTGCCATGTTACAAACCTTTTTCTTTTACTTCTGAGATACTTATCAAAATACAGCATGAATTTGAGTGACTGTATGTTTGTGAGTACACACTGTAAGATGGCATGCTGTAGCCCTGTGAGTGATGAGTGTAAGGTGCGTATGGTCCTGCAGGCTGGAGGGCGGGGCTGTACTGAGTCTGTCCATATGCAGCCATGACACTTGTTCCCCGTCAACTGATCCTGGAGAAGGAAGAAATCATGAGGAAACATTTAGCAAAAGGTTCTTCTTCCCTTTCTGTTACAACACAACATCTGTTTTTGCCACAGAACTGATTTTGAGGAAGAAAGCAATCAACTCTTGTTGTAGATACGTGCAAATAAGCTTACAAGTTCATATTTAACATCACACTATTAAAGGCTAGATCAAAACTCAAAAGGATATTGCACATGATTTTAATCAACAGATATTAGTTGTACTGACACTTATAAACACAAAGGCAAGCGTTCTTTGCACTTTTTATTTCAGTGACAAATCCCATGAAAACTCACCTGCAGTAGGTAGAATGACTTTAAGACAGAAAATAAGAAGCCCTGTGAAAGAGCAGGAAAGGGCACTTTTAGAAAATTTAGGGTGAAACCAGCAGGGAAATCAGTGATGAGAAGGAAACTCTCCAACTCCATCAAAAATGTGAATGGATTTCACAAAAAGGCACGGTCTACATTTACTGTATTAGAAATACATTATCCGCACACTCCAAATCTATGAGAAGTCACAGTCCTGATGACTAGATTTATCATTATGCTACAGTTTATTTGAAAGGTATAGAGTGAGCACTTTTTTTTTTTGCTGAAGGTTTGTTCTCTCACCTGCCTCTGTAGAGAGAGCTTTATCCTCTTTATCCTCTCACACTGCTGTTAGTCAGGTTCTTCAGAAGCCGTCAACTCTCCTGTGGAAACAATAGCAAATACACATCATCAGGACACAGGTATGTGGGTGACTGACACATGGCGACGTGCCTCCGGCTCTGTTGCAGCAGATCCGATGGAGAAAAAAGATACATGGGGTATTGATGGGAGGAATGTGGTTATAAGAACCTCTGGCAGTCCAATAACCAAAAAAAAAAAAAACCATCCAGAACAAGGCTGTGATCCAGATTCTAAATACCAGCAGTGTGAAGGGTATTCACAATTCTCAGGTCAGCACAATCTACATTGGGTGATATGATGAGACAATAGAGGTTTGTAAGACAAGAAAGAGTTTGGATGACAGGATGAGGCACAAGAGATTTTGCAACACAGTGTTGACTGAGGTAGCAGCTGTATCTCTTGTACTCTGTACAAGAGATCTCTGTATATTTCTCTGGTTGTATTATGCTTTGTAGCAATACTGGATTTAGGGATTTTTGCATCCTTGTGATGAAATGCATGATCAGTTACTGGATTGACAGACCCATCAAGTTATTTTATCTACAAGTTGCTTTTTATTTAGAATTCCAGAAAACTAAATATATCATAACATATTGGATTATTTGTAACACTGACTGACCAATTACCAGATTTATCAGAAGACAAGAACGAGAGAGAAAATGTTCTGGGTTAGTAGGCTGGAGGTTAAAAGACCAGTGCCGGCGTCTAAGCAGGAAGCTGAACGAGGTCAGTCTGTTCAACTGCAGCAGGCTGTGGGTGACTGAAGCTGAAACTTATACAGTAGGTAAAATGTCATCTAGACTATAGGACCAAAAGTATGGCTTAGACTCACTAGTTCTAATTAAGGCAAATCTTAATGCTACAGCAATCAATGTACTTTACACTTTGAGACAACAAATGTGGGAAAACTCTTTTGTGTTTCAATCTAAAAATTAGCCTGTTAACAAAGCCAAGTGCAGCAAGAAATATTTAGACCAGTTTGGAGTAAAAGTGAAGCATCTTTGGGAAGAATCAAGATGCCAAATGAAAGCCAGGCCTCATCGCTCAACATCAGCACCAACCTCACTAACGCACTTTTGGCCAAGTCCCAAAATCTGGTGAAAAGCCTTCCCAGAAGAACGGAGGTTTTTCTCGCAGCATATGGGTGGTTTTGGAGTGAAATATTCAACAATCACTATGGATCCAAGCATACAGAAGACAGAAAAACAACAAAAGCGTAACGTAACCCATCTTTGGTACAGAAACATTTCAGCCACTTTTGTTTATTTGTGCTATTGGACAATGCACAACAAACTGAACTGATTTATTACCGTCATTGCTCTCTTTCTCTCTCCTTCTGTCTCCTTCTCTCTCCCTCTTTGCCTCTGGGCCATGCCAGTCTGGCAAAGTCGCAGCTAACTGCCTGACCTCCGACCTCACTGACATCACAGCGACAGAGACAGATGACAGTCATGATTTATAGGGGCAGCAGGGTTTTACAGCAGCTGAGAGATGAAGGTGGAGGAAAAAGTAAAAGATGTCTGAGAAGTAGCAGACATTGTGATACAGACGCTTCACTGTCAGTGGCATCTTGAAGCTGAGTTGATTTACAGTGTCTGTTGTGTTGCTCTTCTGTCATTAACAACAGCATTTTGAGGCAGACACATAATAGCAGAGCAAACAAATCTCATATTGTGCCAAGTTCTGCTGATATAGCCCTCCTGGCCTTTAAAAAACACCCAAGACAGCTTGCAGTGTTTTTTGAATAAATAAGTGTTTTTCTACCATGAAGCCGCCACAAAGACTCACATCTGTGTTATTGCCTGTTAAACAAATGTGTAATTATGACACTAAGGAGGTGATTTACTGTTTGTCAAGTCACTAATAACCTTGTGTAATTCTTTAACTTTCAATCTAAACCATGTTTTTATGTGTTCATTTCTTTTTGCTTTCCTGTTCTGCCCTTTATAACAAGCAGACTGTAAAGCTCAAGAAAGTACACCGATCCCACTGCACAGAGGGAAAATAAAGAAAGCGCTCCGGTGCTTTGCATTTCCTAGCACCTCAGCAGTGAATGCGATGCCTGTTCAGAGTCCCCCTGTCTTTAGCTGCATCCCTTCAACAGTCCTGTATGCTCATACAAGGACGTACACACAAACACAAAAACTTTGTGTGGCGATAGCAAAGGCACTTCCTGGTTCAGGGCGAGGCCTGGGAGGAGGGCGCACAAGGCCATGGGAACTGCAGGACACCGGAGGGAAGATGAGCGGAGCTCAGCAGAGACGTGGAGGGCTGAGGGCTGAAACTAAAGCTAAAACAAACCCAGTGGGGGCCACAGGAGGCCACAGGGCCACGAGTCCAGTCCCACCAGCTTCACCTGGGTCCCAGGGTTCCACTAGACCACTGCTTCTTTCACGGATATCAAATTCTAGCCTTTGTGCTGATGGATTACATCACAGGATGGTGTATTGTGGTTTAAGATGAAATGTCATTTGATACATTTAAAGAAATACACTGAGTTCATGCAGATTTACCTGTCGTTCAACTAAAGTGTTGAATGAAGAGAAAATGACAGACGTGATACTGATTTATATGTGCTAACCTGCTAGACTTATCAGGAGAACACCATGCCAAAAACAAGGTATACACTAAACAAATGAGTTTTTATAATGTTGTCCAACTACATCTGAAGGTGACAGTGTTTCTAGCTGTTATACTGTAAATAGGCACATGTGAAGTGAAAAGCTGGCTGTCACACAGAGGGCTGAGATACAATAATTATTCAGATAGGGATAACAGCGCATACTTTTCAACAATCTTTTGTTAAAGCGGTTCACAGTGGTGCAATTGTTTTTAACCGTAAAAAGTGAAAAAGAACACTTTAGAGAGATGGGTTAATGTGGCCCAATGCTGTTTAAAATATCTGAGTGTTGGTTTTTGGAAAGGGACAAAAGTTTTTAGACGCACCTCCCCCAATCCTGACATTGGAAACGTGCAGGGGGAAGGGATTTTCCAACCATCCAGCAAGCACTTTGTTTTAAGCATACTGACCTGTTATCTCTGTAGGCTGCACATGACACCTCAAATGCAAGAAGGCAAGATCCTGTAGAAGCGCTGGATACTAAGTGCTAAGAAATCAAATCACATGTGGCCAAGTAATGCAGTTAGATTTATGAACAATTTTCATTTAATAAATTTTACAATAACAAATCGTGCACTACGTCACCAGGTTCACTCAAAGTTGGATTGTTATTTCATATCTGAAATACGAATGTATCCATACCATGTAGTAAAAATCACTAGTAATATTACATAAAGGTCACTTTTTGACAACTTCCATCAGCTTTGTTTAATTATGTAACTAAAGGGTGTGTGTCATTTTATGTTATTTACATTTCTCAAAAAATGATTTGAATATCCGGTGTCTTGAGCATGTGTCTGCTGAGATATATGTTTACAGTGTCAATATGTGTGCTGTGTCAGTGTCTGTCTTAGTCTTGAGACAACATGTTAGAGTCTGGTTACGCACTGCCGTGACCCTCCTATGGTCAGGCCTTTTATTGAAACATTGTGCTTCTCAGTCAAGCTTGACATGGTGACTTGCTGGTCTGTAATCGTGCCATATGGGACCCCACCTGGAGCCCTCAATTTGGACAATCTGCCTAAGTGCCTGGGGGGAATTTGGAGGCTTGATTCACTGCAGCACACAGACCCTCTCTCTTAGTCACTGATAAAAAAGTCACAGAACAAGGGCACAGTATTTGGGTTTGTGTGACACTGTCGGGGTTTTCGTGGGGGAAATCAGTGGCATCTGCCTTTTTAAACTGCCTTTGACACACAGGCAAAACCATATAACATCTTTAATATCAGTGATAATAGGCCAATACCACCTGACACAAATAGCAGTAAATGATTTAGCAAGCAGGTGAGAACCACTGAACAGTGTCTTATTTGACAGTTTCTTTAAAACCTGTAATAACTGCTTATAAAAAGACTACAAGCTGCTTCAGACTCTGTCCTGATACCCCTAATAATTCTTTAATAAACCATATACACATATTTGCTAATCTGCAATTTGATATGCACAAAACATATTTATATGCCTATAAAAAAATACATACTAAAGGCAACACAAGCAAAAAGCCCATGGCTGTTCAATTATTCTGCTTATTATTTTCCTAAAGCTAGAGTATGGAACTTTTTTCACATATGTTTGCCTTAGAAATCTGATCCAGAACTTGTCTTATTGTAGAGAGGTGCTGTCGAAGCCTCCTGTGACCCAGACTCATTGAACAGCACTGGCAGCAGTGCAGAGATAATAAAAGGTTTAGAGTGGGACTGGCCTTTCTAACCAATCAGAGATTTTCAATTGGTTCTGCTTGATCAGTAAGTTTTGTTGCATTCTCATTTATTGTAATTTCATAACGACAAACATCTGAAGAGTTGGGCAGAGCGTGGCGGAGAGTAGCAGACCAGAGTAAAGCACAGTGGAACAGGGAGAGGGAGCGCTGGGCAGAGCAGAGTGGACTGATTTGGTGCTTCATGCTAGTGTTACCTTAAAGTTACATACTGTAGTGTTTATCATTTAGTCTAAAAGAAATTTTAAACTGTGAAAACAGCCATCACAATATTGCAAGACCCAGGCTTCAAAACTCTAGTTCTGTCTGAAAAACACTACAAAACCCGAAGATATTCAGTTTACTGACAAGAAACCTAAGGGCAGAAAAGCTGCTACCAGATAATGTTTGGTTTCTTGTTGGAAAAATGATTGAAATGATGAATCAATTACAGCAATCATTGCTGACAAATTTCTCACAAATGACCATCATGTTGGGTGCAATGTAAGTCCAGCCAGCAGTTCGCTGAACGTGCCTTTAATAAGAAATGTATAATCCTTTCTATATAATACTGTGTTAGCAGAACTCAACGTCATAGCCAGTAATGTCACTGTCCAGACTAGGACATGAGCCATAATCTAGTTGAGGTTCTATTTGTGCTTGTCTGTTTTTACTTGCTACACTAAAACTGAGTGTTGTTGACA